AATCAATATTATAGTAGAAGTTAAATAATGTAAATTTCCTGAACTTGTGTCGGCGCGGGCGTATCAGCCATGGTATTGTGAGCGTGAGGCGGGAGTTGCCGAACCATTAGCACAGTTCAAACTCAGCTCAATATCATGAGTGACTTGTATACGGGGATTTCCTGCACAATAAAATCCAAAGATTTTGTTTGAGTACTCTAGCATGTTGTACCTATAGGATATACTAACCACAAAGCAGGCGCCATCTCATGGGGCATTGTGCACCCAGAGTTCCGGTCGCAGCCACCCTCGATATTGTGCGGGGTTCTAATCGTGGGAACCGCTCACTCTGCGTCTCGCGCAGGCGCACCATATACGACTTCAGCGTTTCAACTTGAGCGTGAACGACTACAAAATCCCCGGAGAGTAGTACTACTGTCATCAGAATGCCAATAGGTATTGTTTACTTGTAGCTACTTGAGACCTGCGGGTGCTAGTATCGTGAACCCGCCGGACACATATTTACTTAGATACCCGGTCGAAGACCGGGAAGAAAAAATGAACTACACCTCAAAAATTGAAGGATCAGCACCCTAGGATACATCTCGTGCAACGTACGGGAGCAGCGAGAGGTTGTACAATGTATAACCCGCTCGCTAGGGAAGAAGCATGCTTTCAGCCACATGCAACCATATTTGGAGCGGCCACCCCTTGTTCTTTTTTCTTTTCTTTTTCTTTTCTTTTTACTGCAGTGGTATCATTATCGAGCCTGGAATTGCGCCAATGGCAAGCATCCTGTTGCCTACGGTACAAGCTATGACAGTGTTGAAGACAGTACACTGACTCTACAGTAACACTGATCGAGGGTGGCGGAATGCCACCCTAGGGCAGCAAAGAAGGCACTTATTATCTATTCCTCAGATATATGTAACTGTAAAGCTTGACACCAAGTATCTGATGGATCGAAGACTCTGACCACACCGGCAGACCACTAACTTGAGAGTTAGAAGTTGATATCATTCAGTATCATTCAGGTCAAGATGAAATAACTATGGGCATTGTTGATGCCGTGCAGCGCCCGGGGAGCAAGAAAGATTATTTTCCTGCTTGTAGAGTCCCTGCCGTTGGTTTACCATACTATCATTGGACCAGTAGTGAATGATTTGAACTGCTCCCTAGTTAAGTCATCTTCCTCTGATTGCACGTACCCCAAAATTGGTGTGAATGGTTCAGATACTATTCTATACCCTCTGCAAATTTCTCAGATTTTTCCAGAGGGCGTAGAGGTTGTACGGCGTAAGGGGACGGGAAGTGAATAAGATGTCACACGTGTCACAATAGGGCTGTGGCGGGGCAGCGGTCACGCTCTGTCACACTTAGACCTCGGAGATGCAAGACAGTTTTAAATCCTGAACGATGACCACTCCTCCGTTCCACATACAAACTTGAACATGGCATCTACAGACATTTATCATTACAGAGAAAAATTGCCGAAGGTATAGGGTAGCCACAAGGTCCCCAGTGCACAAAAGGGACGGGAAGTGAATAACTAAGTTATTCACTACTGGTCCAATGATAGTAGACTTTTACATGTTAGGAATCGGACCTGGCGTGCCGCGCAGCGCCGAATACCTCCCAAGTATTGTGTTTCGACTCTTCGAGTGGCAAAGCTTGAGGTTACTAAGTACGACTGGTCGCGAGATGAATGACTCCGATTTGAAAATACTCACGTCGCTGAGCGTTCCGACGAACACGACACACCCATCCAGTCGCTGTTTACAATGGAGCGCCGAGGGACAGGTGCTTCTAATGACAAAAAGTGCCATCTATGTCTTGGTATGACCCGTTTCATTTTTCGGAATTAATATTTCTGGTGTTCATAGTTTCTATAGACACCTGAAACCGGAGTTAATTTCGACTCATCTTCTGCTATCAAGTCTACGGCAGGAAAGAGTCCCGAGACTAATGAGGGCACTAGCACCTTAGGCTGGTTCAGAACCATGATCGAGTTCGAGAAAGCTATTGTCCATCAGTGGCCGGTAGACTCCCAAGGTGGCTTATGAAAAGTGTTCTAGGCCATAAGCTGCCCATACTCACTCCGCAATAGATTGGGCTGCGGTTTCGCTCGGGTCTTTAGACGTTCTGCTGCGCGCGGTTACTTGCTCACCGATCAACGTCCATGGCGCTGGGTTAGTGCGAACCATTGCACCACAAATTCAATTCGTCTAAACAAGTCAATCCAAGTTGCATTATAGCAGCTCTGAATTCCAATCTTGAAGTGACCCTTTGGGGCGCAGCCAAGAATCACTTGCGGGGAGAATGGAAGAAGGTACATACGTATTTCTCTCGTTTTCAGGTGTTATCTCTAATCAAACATTTTTAGCTCTATGATATCACTGCATTGCTCAAAGAGCTTCCTTCCGACCAGATGCATCCCACAGGCAACACCCTGTGCGAACAGGTCCTTTGTAATTACTCCTCTCCCGACAATTCCCGTGCACCTGACTGACGCCCGCTAAACGGCAGGCATATGCTGGTCACCGCAAGCCCGCTTTGATATCGTACCGACTCCATCCTTGGATTGGTCTCTCCTGGCTACCGGGACCCGTGGAGGTACCGTTTCATTCTTCCAGTAGGCAGTACCTCTACATTCCCAGCTACGCACCCAATCTTAACCTTATGGGGCAATCCAGATGGCGAGGCGTTACCGAAGAAGGACAGGGACCCACAGCGGTCCATGTGCAAACGCTGCCTGTTGCAGATCAGTGGGTCACGCATCTGGCGTGGTCGCCGTGGGCTCTATGCGGTGCAGGACAATGTGAGATCTGCTGTTTTCGAATCTCGCCGATCCTGATCCCCGCGTTTGTATTGTCTCGGTGGGTGATAGGTGAGGCCTACCTGGCTTGCGCGAAGGCAGATGGCACCGTGTCGATCATCAAAGTGTCACAAAAGCTCTGCCCGGTGCCCTCGAGTTTTGGCACCGAATTTGCAGTTGAGCGGACCTTCGAGGTGCAGGAGTGCTGCGCATTTGCAGCCGACAAACGCGTCATCACTGCGCTGCGCTGGGTTGACATCCCGGGCAGAAGCGTGAATATTGTTTTGTCCCTACAGTGGGCTGGCAGCTAAAATGAACCTTATAGTTGATACTCGTCGCGACTAAGCCCGGGATAGTTGATCTCACGCCCTGGCCAGTCCCAAGCAAGCTACCGTGGTCCGGCACCAAGAGACTGGTCTTGCAAAGGCAGAACCTCTCCGTTGACTCATCGCCCCTATACCCCCCTTCAGGATTCATCCATATCGTAGAGGAGGACATTCTCCTCGTATCGCTTTTCGATGGATCGTTCCACGTCGCCCACAGGCTTTCCTCGGACCCAACGCTGACTCCGACGAATAGCACCGCAGTTACGGCAGCTTCGCTGTCCCAGAGAGCCCGCCAGGTCTTCGCCGCCTCTGAGACGCATACTGTGAAAAGAACAGATGTTGGGCGCATCAGTGGTATGATGGCATACGACGGCGCGTCGACGATTGCCTGGATACACGAGTGCGTAAGGGGATTTGTTTACCTTTACCGGGGATCTGCGTGCGTCTCTGAAGCGATCTGAACTTTGGCAGAACTTGCAATCCCACGGACTGCAGTTACAAACATGATGCCCGCCATAATAGTATGTTCATGGTGACGCAGCTTTGGGGTGATGGCTACCCTAGTGAAGAGGGACGTTTCATCGTCAGTTTGGAGCAGGTATTGAACTGCTCTAGAAAAGGTTGGGATAGCGACTTGGATATGGGGTTATCATGGCTCACGCTCTGTCTAGTCTGGGGGTACTCGCCCCTGCGTATCCTTCGACCCGTCTTCTTTTTGCTCTCCCAAGGTCAGGTCGCCACGCAGTCCTCGGAGCGACTCCTTCAGATACTCCAGCATACCCCATTCGATGAGTCGACCAGCATTAACATCACTCCGTTGTCCGCGACGCTTACGAAAGAAGTGAAACGAGAATTCAGGAACAGTCTCCTTTGCCATATGTATGGGTGGGACTCTTTTCTCTCGCTGCGCCTGAAACTTGCAGTCGCCGATCACTGCTGGGTGAGGTTTATCCAATATTGACAGCGGGGATAGGATACTCTGCTCACCTTACGGCCTCAGATGCTGACGAAAGGGCATCCAGAACTCCAGGAACAGTACGGCCAGAGGGCCCATAACCTGTTGAACCTCATTTTCCAGCGAATACAGCGGACCTTGATTCGTCATCTCGAGGCCGTTATCCCCGTACTGACCGGTAAGTCCTCCCGTGGGCATCCTTCAGCTTCTGAACTGCGTCGTAGCCGATGACATGTCTTTCGTAACGCGAGTCGTTGTACAAGCGACACTCCATGGGTCTCCTGTCGACCTGTCAAAGGAGGCGCAGGAATTGGCAGCTCGAACTACTCTCGCCGGTATCGGCGATCCCCGTATGGCATTACCTCAAGGCGCCGAGGAGATATGCCCTGCTTGCCGTGTACCCATCCCTTTACAAGACCTTGCTACTGCTACCTGTCGAAATGGCCACGTTTGGAGTAAGTGATTGTATTCCATCCCAAAATCCCACCTAACACAATTGGCAGGACGATGCTCGATCACAAGTTTCATCCTGTCGACTCCGAAAGTGAGAACGTGCATTGGCTGCAGCCGTAAAGCGTTGATTCCTATCGACGGGGACGCGGGAACGAACGACAATCACTTTCCATCAGTTGCGCGCGGGTGGATCGTGGCCGAACTGCTCCGAGCTGTGCAACGCTGTCTATTTTGCGGCAATAGCTTCGTGAGCCTTGTCTGATGTTAGACTATGTATCTGCAATTTCGTATGTGAATTTACGACGCGACATGTTTGACAGATTGGCAGACAGTTCTACCGGGCGTTCCTATGTTTGCGTAAGGTTGTCCTTACCTGCTTCGTTTCTTAAATGCCTATCTAGTGGTTCTATTGCGTAAAAAGCTTCAAACTATGGGACAGGATCAGTCTTGCTCTCTCACATGGGCATCACCGTCACCCACGCCAATTTCCCTTTGCTCTCCGGCAGTGTCCCAGTTGCAGGGCAAGACCCTTAGGCAACCCTTACGTGCCGTGACTGACTGCCCATCTGCAAGTGAATTTGTGTATAGAGGCAGACCATATTTGCAAGGACGATGTAATAGCAGCAAGACACCTCGAGGCGTCGTAGCGCATAGAAGAGCAAACATACGAGACCTCTCTGGGAAAACATAACGAGCACAAGAGGACGAATGGACAGAAGCAATGACTACAAGGGTTCCAGATGTTCTGGATCAAGAAAGCTAGGGCGATAACGATAGCAAGAGTCAACGGTAGTCTCATGGTCCTGTAGCAACGAATTCTATCCTTCAGTGTCGTGGAATGGCCCGCCTAAAGCTCGTGGAATCAGTAGCAATTCATCGTCCGATTCTCCAGACTTCTGTGGGCTGAGCGGCTTTGCATAATGCTTGACTTTCATGGTCGGCACAGGCAGAGATGATCCACTCACGCCGCTCTTCGTCTGGGGCCTAGACGACGAGGGAATGGGAGGCAGTGGTCCCGATGGGGGTCTATTGGGAGCTGAGATGGTGCCGGAGCGCGAACGCGCCCTAGGCCGGCCTGGAGGAGCGGCGGCGAGCTGGGGCACCGGCTTGCCCTGTCCAAAATCAGACGCGCGGATGGTTCCGGCCCTGTTTCTTCCTTGGTTCCATGTCTTGTCCTTCCCCGTGTTCCAGGCAAAGTCTGAAGGGCGAATAGTACCTGCCCTGGTACGCCTCTTACCCGTGCCTTCCGCGGCGGGTGTCGAGGCATGAACTCCCTCGGAAACCAGATCAGTCACCGCGTCCTTCACATCCGTGGTGCGGGAGGTTGAATCCTTAGGTTCTAGGTATGCACCAAATCAGTTAGACAAGGAAAACGGTACAGCCCTCGCAAAGTAAGGATGAGCGGGAGGCATCTATTGAACAGAGCGTGCTCGGAAATTTGTAGAAAGAAGAGCAAGGGCAATAGACCGCCGGACGGCGATGCCAGAACCTTCTCGGGTACGCACCTTCGAGATCGAGACCGGAGAGAAGATCTCCCAAGTCTGTATTGTTGTTTGTAGAAGGGGGCGGCAGATAATCGCCAGCCTGAGACGTAGAATTTGAAGCAGCAGCAGCGGTAACATTCAGTGCAAATGGGCTATTAGCAGGAGTAGCAAACGCAGAGAGCAAAGATATAGAGGAATCCGGCAGGCATGGTACGCCAGGCAGCGTGTTGAGAGTGACAGTTAGGTCCATAGACGATTCCGAAGCACGCCGAGTATGCGTATGCGTGGTACCTATGAGGGAGGTGAGGTCCATGGACGCCAGGTCATCCATGGATCTTCCAGCGGACCCAGGAAGAGATCTACTACGGTCGGTATGGAGCATAGAACCCCGAGAAACCTGAGCAGTGAAGTCGAGCGGGGAGGAGAAGATACTGTCGCTGGATACATGCACCATTGTGCGACGGCGAGGTCGATGTGAGGACTGCAGAGCGCGTCGAGGGTCTTCATGTGCTTCAGATATGTCCATATCAATGTCTTCCATCGGCGCTCCAGTAGCATATAGCGACTCTTGTCTAATAGGAGACTCCGGTGTTATCGGCCTGGTTGACGGTGCATTATATAACGCTGCGGTGGTGTCATCGCGACGTATCCTATTCCGATCCGGTGTCTTATTAGCAAGAGGGCGCCTGGCGGGAGTGGAAGCAGCAAGTGGAAACCCCGTCCCAGGGAACGGCTCAGGGAGAGGAGTACTAGCATCATAGAGGAATGACCACGCCGCATCAGACAGAGGAGGGCCCTGGTTCCGGAGAACTGCTTTCGGAGGAATCGACCAGTCTTGTGCATCGAGTTCGTCCAGAGAGCTAGCATTAGTAGGCATCGAAGGAACGCGTCGGTGGGAGAACGCCTTTTGCTTTGAAGGCGACGGAGCCCGAGACGATGTCTGATGTATAAGGACAGTGGTGTTGCTGAAAATACTGTCCTCTACTTCGGAACGCACCATCGTGTTGGACATGGTCCTAGCTTTGGGAAAATACGGAGTTCTCCTGAGTTTCGGTTTCGTAGCCCCTTTGGATCCGGGACGCCGCGTTGGCGAGGTAGCGGCGGAGCCCGGACGGCTGCTGAACGGAGATGCCAGTCCACCGGAGGTAAGCGGCCTGAATACGTTGGCGTTTTCTTTCATATTCCGAGACGCAGTGCATTGTATGCTACGTGACTGAGGCACCGGAGACATCCTATCAGGAGAAAGATGTTCAGGGGACGAAAGCATAGCAGGAGGTCCCGGTTTCGACGGAGAATGAAAAGGTGTTTCATATTCGAAGCTCTGGCTGCGGCCAACGGCGACTAGAAAATCGTACTGAGGAGGCGCTTGATTTTCAGAGTCAGACCGGAGAATTTGCTTTGACTTTTTGCTGGCAGAGCTTTCTAAATTGTCCTGTCCTCGAGATACCTCTCTGGAACGCTTTCTGACTCTGCGGACCATCTCTGCAAGTGGTATGTCCGCTGCTTCGCTTGCTTGGCCCGCGGAAGGGGAACTGGAAGGACCGACATATTCCGATTTGGCGCTCCTGGTTTTCCGCCTCGAGTAAGTCGTCACAGGTTTTCCAGAGGCTACGGAAGGCATGCCCTCAACGACGACTTCCGAGTCAGGCCGCTGCTTGTCGACGAGTACGATACCGGCTCCGTCGACTGCCAGAGAAAAGCAGCGGGTGCTGTTGCCAGACAATGTAGAATACCGTAGGCAAGATTATTATTCAGACGTAAACACTAAAGCAGTTGAGACAAGGAAAATAATGCAGCGACAACGGAGACCATGGCCAGGACGACTTGCTGGACAGAGGAGCAGGCCTAGTGCGGCGATGTGGTGTCCATCAACCGCGTGAGAAATATTGTCCGAAAAGCGTAACTAGGATCGTTAGTCCGGATCATGGCACTTTACTGCCAGTGCATCTGTACTACTTTCTGCCTCGTTGCGCTTGCAGTATGGACGCAGGGCCATCTGCGAATGCTGAAACTAATCCCATGACTACAGCTGAAGCAGCATCTTCCAGGACAAAGCAAGTCAGCGACCTCTATGTGTACCAGGCCCAAGCCTTCTTGGATGCGGCAGAAGATATCGGTATAGATCCCGAGACCGTGGAAGACATCTTAGATGGCTTCCCGGGCGACCACGACGAAGCCACGACAGCAGAACAAGAAAATGCTAACAATTTAGCGTTGGAAGGGAACGATGAAAATGACCCGGAAATGACTGACCTTGCCACCTTTGCTCAGGAAGGTAGAACTGGAATGTAGTACTTGAGGCGGAGCCCGGCTCATCATGTTCTCCTTGTAGCCGAGAAGATGTGGTCCAAAGAAGACATTAAACAGGCGAAACGCTTCCTCAAAGAACATGGTAAGACTACATGTAGATGGAGCAAGCCTGCAAACCTCACAGTCCCCTCATAGGGACGACCGCGTTCATCAAGGAATATGTCCTTGAGAGAGGAATCTCTATTCCCCACTTAATCTATGCATTTGGCGTATGCTTGGCAAGTACGGCAGTTTGTGGCTTTCGGCGCTCGACTTAACGTCATGACAGTGCAAGGAGCTACGAGAAAAGCGACCTACGACTCTGCTTTACTTCCTCAAAGTAGTGCTGTCACAAGAGTGAGCACAGATTCATACCGCGTTGGTACAGTATGGATTCGCCGGGCTGACATATCTCGTCACTCTCAGAATCCGCAAGCGAGAAAAGCTCCCGCAATACAATACCATAGATGACGCAGTAGAATTGATCCGAACGTCGCAGCGTATCATCATACTCACAGGAGCAGGGATCAGTAAGACATCTCCTCTGTAGCTGTATTGACTGACTGAGGGTACTGTTTGCAGGCGTGTCCTGTGGCATTCCTGACTTCCGCTCTCGAAATGGTTTATATGCCTCATTGAAGGAGAAAAACGAATATGACCTCGACGACCCACAACAAATGTCCGTGATGATGACTTACTATCGAGAATCGTGATACTCACGTACTGCAGGTTCGATATACACTACTTCCGAGAAAATCCCGCAGGTACGTCCGGATTCGTGCCACAAGGTCACTGAGTGGTCATTCATTCGTCCGGCCGGCATAGTATTCTAGTGAGGAACTGTCTCCTTTCATATTACTATGATCTGACTTCATTGCTTGAGTTCTTTCGCTAGGTTCGTCGCACTGTCCGGGATGAATTGTGCGTGCCCCCGTCTTAATCAAGCCACAGTCAAATATACCCGTCCAATTTTACACCATCACCGTGCCATCGATTCATCAAACTTATCGAGGACAAGAATAAGGTACGCCCTTCTACCTTAATCTGTGCTAATTTCTGGGTTTTCACTGTTGTCGCTGTAGCTTCTTCGTGTGCGCATTGCCTCGTCCAACTCCGCTGAATGCCACGCTAACATGGCCCTTTAGAACTATACGCAGAATATCGACACCCTAGAGACACTAGCGGGCGTGCAGAAAGTATTGCAATGCCATGGGTCCTTCGCCACAGCGACATGTCTTAATTGCCGGCTCAAGGTTCCTGGCGTCGAGATAGAGCAGGATATCCTGCAGCGCCGCGTCCCTTTGTGTAAAGTATGCAACCCACCTAACGCGACGAGTAGCAACAAAGCAAATGCGAAGAAGGATGGGAAGAAGAAGGGTAAGAAGTCAGACAAGGACAAGTGGGATAGTGAGGAGTCGGACGGACCGGAAGAGAGGGATTACCCGCCGGGTATCATGAAGGCAAGCGCCTTTAGTTCCGTTGGACGTTAGGCTAAAGCGGCGGACTGAATGGCGAATTAGCCTGACATTACCTTCTTCCACGAGAAGCTGGACGACGCGTTCGATCGTGCTCTCATGGAAGACCGCGACAAGGTCGATCTCATAATCATAATGGGGACGTCTCTCCAAGTCGCACCCGTCTCCGAAACGATAAGTGAGTAGGACCTTCGATTGTCGCCCAGTTGCTAATGATTGCCTCCAGCATACCTGCCGCACTCGGTCCCACAGGTAGGAGAGTGGTTGCTATCAGGCTGCCTATACCGACAGTGCATACGCTCAGATACTAATTAACAAAACGCCCATAAAACACATCAATCCCGATGTAAGCATTCCATCCACTATCGCCCTTCGTACTAATCCATGTGACTACGTCGTGGAGATCGTGCTCCTCGGTAACGCCGACGACATAGTCCACCACCTCTGCGGCAAGTTAGGCTGGGATCTGCCGGCACCACGACAACTCGAGCCACTCCGACCCAATCTGCGGAAACGGCCCTCCACGGATGTGGCCCCGGCGCCTCAGGAGCCAAAACGGGTCGGTGACAGGTATGTGCCGGCGTAGTACCTGCGAGCCTCGAGTCTCTGAACAAGGTCTTTTCGTAGCCATGTCTGGCTGTTCGACGGCGCTGAGGGCGGGAAGTGGGTGGAGGATCTGGAGGCGCGGCTCGTCGGCTCGCCGCGCTCGGAGATGTCTAGTGTGCTCTCTGAGGAGGAGGAAGACGCGCGCGAAGCCAAGAAACCCCGGCTAGATCAGTAGTAATCCGGAATACTTCGAGAGTTCATCGCCGGAGCCGCAGGCGGAACGCGTTCTTCGATGCGCGCGACTGCGGGTCCAGGTAGGCGTCGTAGAAGCCTACGATGAACTCCTCTGCTTTGAACCCGAATCTGTTGTATAGCAGCTGTGCGAAGAGATATATATTAGATATACGAGGCGTATTTATGTGTACTGAACGAACGCACCATCGCGGGGTTGTTGACTGATACGTGCAGGGTTATGTCTTTGTTTGGGTTGAGAGTTATCAGATGGTACAGCATGTTGCTACAACGGAGATTTCAGAGTCAGTCACAGAGGTAGGGTTGTGGCTTAGGCGGATGGTAGTTACGTTGCGATCTGCGCGTTCTCCCATCCGGTGCGCACGGCGAGGTACGTGATGTACGTCTCCTGCGGCGAGCTGAGAAATGCCACGCCGACGACGAGTTTCTTGTACACCGCGACGACCGTGCACTTCTCGGGCGAGTACTGTAATGAGTCGCTTACTAACAAGGTTGCGTTAGTCATTGACAGTCGTCGGGAGACGCCACGCACCGTCGATGCCGGACCAAAACGTCCGCGCCAGGAGATCGTGGATTTGATCAAGGTGGCACGGCTGCAGTGAAACGTACTCGATAGGCGCGCTGACCGAGTCGGCCTGTTCTCTCTCTGGGCTGCGAACAGTCAGATTATCCGATACTCGGGTGAAACAGGGCGGACTTGCTGTGCGAGAGAGTGATGGTCTCTGATATCGTCCATGAGGGCCATCCAGGGGGAGTAGGCGTCCCAGTCGACGGCGATGAGCCCGGGCGTCGGGGCGCTGTCTGCCCCGAGGAGCCGGGAGAGGAAGGAGCTTTCGTACGGGGTGGTGCGAATTGAATATAGTGCGTCGAGGACATCCGGATTGACGGGTGGGTCTTGGCGGGGAGGCGGGAGGGGCGTGACGGTGGTGGTGTTGAGATAGGACTCGAGGTCGAGGTCGGGGATGTTACGCAGGCCTTTCTCCTAGATGGCGATGAGTCTCATGAGATGCTGCGGGGACACGGGGACAAATCTTGCCCTTTGGACTTTGAGCTTACGCAGAATCACAGCCTCCAGGTATGTGAGAGGATGACCGGAGTCCAATTTCGACTGAATGTCGCTGATTAGCAAAGCCCGCTCGTAGCGCGTCAAAGGACGGACGGGCCGCCCCTATTCCAGTGAGTTAGTGGGTGAAATGTTTGGAAATAGAGGTACTTACATATTGGTCTTCTCGCACTTGCTGCTGCAACCAGAGGTCGCGCGCCCGGATGAGGTCGGGGAGTAGTTCGTTTATGACCGTGTCGAAGGCTACATCCTCTTCTGAGCATTCGTGCTGGACAGTTTCAAGCAAAGGGGTGAGGTCGAACTCAGTAGCTCCCGACGCGTGGCTCTCGACCGATGGACGGGAGGCTGCACGGACGTCGTTCACTCTCCGTCGTTTCGTCCGCGACGGCTTCTGCAGACAAGTTCACCAAAGAGGCCCCGGGTAAAACAGGCCAACGCACATATTTCTCCTCATAGTCGTCATCCGAGTCCATCTCCGTCGAATCTGTCCGAACGCCCGAGGTTGGAGCAAGGACGGAAGTGTCGATCCCTTGACAAACATACCGTTTATGGCAACTCACGCTCCGTTGCTCCCAGCGTCATAAACCCGCTTACTGTTACGCCTCGACTATACACAACGCCTGGAGTCTCTGTACATACAGCCGCACATCCTAGCCATGCCTCCAGGAGCCTCGCTACAAGAACAACTGCAGGTGCGATTCACCCTTCCCATCGTCCACCATCCACAAGTCATTGAAGCACGAAAATTACACCGGACAGAAAGAGTTCTGCCCGCCGCTGGATACATCCCTCATCGCCGCGCTCGTGAACGAATGCGAGGCGGACGCAGCCGCCAACTCACGGCCGTCAGTAACATCCGAGCAGATCTATGATCTTCGCAAAACACTGTCCGAGTTGGCCGCGCAAGCCGAGAAAGACGAAGAGTCCCTATCCGACAAACTAGCGGAGCTGCATGTTTCCCCGCACTCCTTCACCACGGACGAATCGAGCGTCCTTACAGACGACCTCTCTCCCGGGCGCACATCCAGCTCCGATACGTCCGACGCATCGCAGGAATCGTTTAGCTCCCCGCTCGGATTCCTCACCGCTGCCTTCCCTCAGGTCGACACAGCTCTCCTTAGGCGCGCCCTCCAGTCATGCCCAGACGATGACGGGGTGGACATGGAGTCCGTGGTGGGGGAACTCCTTACCCAGGAGTATCTGCACGACCTGGAAGAGCGCGGCCTGGACGGGCTGACGGACGAGGAAATCACACGCGATGATGCTTGGGAGACGGTACAGGCTAAGAAGAAGCAAGCGCGCGCAGGGCCCTCCATACCTAAGGTCGCCAAACCCAAGGCGCGCAAGATCACCATCACCGACGTGCGGCAGCAGCAGCACGCGCGGCCGCCTCTCGCCCGCAACAATTCCTCGCCCCTGCCGCACGGCGCGCCCGACCCCTGGACGCAGCTCTCCTCGCTCTCCTCCTACCTCTCGACCCTCCTCCCCAAGCCCGCGTCCTACTTCCAGTCCATCTTCCACAAGCCCGAACACGCCTGCCCGGCCGACGCGCTGCGCGCCGCCCTCGCTTCCATCGCGGGCGACACCACCGCCGAGCTCTCAACCGCCGACACCCAGTCCCTCTTCACCATTTTCGAGATCATCACGTCGTCGCCTGCATGGGGCGAGCTGGACGTGCCCGCGCGGAAGCAGCTCATGGCGGACGCGGAGCTCGCGCTCAGGGCAACGCACGGGCAGTGCGACGCCGCGCTCGACATCGTCGCGCTCCTGCGCGACCTCGACGGCGACGCGTACCTCGAGCTGGGGGTGTACCACTCGCCCGCGCCCGCGCCGCCTGCACGGGAGGCTTGGTCCTCCGTGCCCTCGTCCCCGATCATGTCGTCGCCTGTGCTCAGGTCGGGAAGTTTGAGCGTCAAGCCCACAGCGAGCAACGGCGCTTTCCCCGCGAAGACGAAGGCGAAAGCGAAGTTGAAGCCCCCGCCGCGGGACAACGCGTGGCACCAGATCCCGCCGCGCAAGGCGGGCGGCCCGCACCCGCTCGCGTCGTACATCCCCGCGTACAGCGGTGCGAAGGTGCGCGGGGGCGGGAACGGGCTGGGCAAGGGCGGGAAGGGCGACGTCGGGGAGCTCAGAAGGAAGCGGGACGAGGCGCTCAGGGAGGCGTCGCGGTATTGGCAGAGCGGGAGCGCGAAGACAAGGGGTGGGGAGGTGGCGCTTTATTTTGCGGAGAGGGTGAGTTGCTTTTTTGTTGTTTGGGGATGGAGACTGATTGAATGTAGGCAAGGGAGTATAGGGAGCAGGAGAAGGCTGCTGCGCTGGATGCTGCGAAGAGCATGATTGATGAGAAGCGGTGAGTGTGGAAGAGCTGCGAATTCTATCGCATAGCTAATATTCTCCTTTTGCCTTGCAGAAACCGCAGTAGTGATAAGAAGACAGTCGACTTGCACGGAACGACGATTTCAGAGGCTACCGTCATCGTCAAGGATATCCTGCGCACGGAGGGGGCATCACCGGGTACGTTGAGGACGGTCCATTCCGGCTCGGTAATGATTCTGATGTCATGGTATTTGTTTACAGCTAAGCCACTGCATGTCATTACCGGCCGGGGCAACCATTCCGCGAACAGAGTGGGCGTGCTCGGCCCTGCGGTACGCGCTGCATTGGAGGAGGACGGGTGGGTCGTGTCGAGCTTTGATGGGGGCTTGGTCGTCCGCGGGCGTTCTGGGCGGACTAGTCTCTGATACCATGGCACTCGTATGAGGCGGTCTGAGGTTCACTAATATCCTAGTAATATTCTATTATTGCGTCGTGTTGTATGCTGCGGACGACAGTTTCTTTCTTTTGATTTGTAGCATTCCGTGACTCTTTCTGTAGCGACTAGATTCTATACTATCCTCACATTAATCATTGGCTAGGCACTCGGAATGTCTGGAATGGCGACCAGACCGCAGAGGAGGCTCCTTGATATCTTGTTCCAACTTTGTCGCCAGTGAGTGCGGGCTGACCATACGTGGACAACCGATTGCCGTTTCGGGCATATGTCATGACTCACGATTGGTCACGCACGCGGTCACGGACCGCCGGTTCTGAGAGGACTGGCAACGGCGAAGCTTCCATCGGTACCTGACAGCCGCTAAATACCGCCAAATCGCGAAAATATTACTTCGGGATGTTATTCTACTTCTCCGTTGTAGCCTTTCTCGCATTACTGGTAATGCGTACGTATCCTCTTCCTTGCTGTAGAACGGCCCAATCTGATATACGAGTCGCTTTGCAGTTGCGTTCCGCTACCGCGCCACGCTCCTGCCCCATGTGCCGGCACGGGTGAGGTCGATGTTCCCGCAGCTATCGAACTACACGCCGCTGTCGACGTTCTCCGAGCAGGCGGGCGCTGGGCTGTCCTCTGCTGCGTTCGACATCGAGGCGAACATCCGGGACGGGGACGCAAGAGTGGGCTTGGACGAGCGCGGGACGCAGGAGGTGATGGAGATCATGCGCCGGGAACGCGTGAAGTGAGTGTCGCTTTGCTATGCGGCGGGGTTGGGTGCAAGACTGAATGCGGGGTATAGCTTCGACCAGGCGAGGCTGATTAGACAGAATCAGATCCTCGCGCGCAACGGCATCGACCCTTCAGGTGGGGGTATATATGGCAAATGGCGCGTCCGTTGCTTGCTAATATCCTCATGCAGGGATGCCGCTGGACTCGAAGGCCGTCACCCGGCTATGACCTCTGTCCCTTTCGTATTTCTTTCTTCAAGCTTGTATTACTCCCATGGGCCCAGTTGCCGTTGTTCTCATTCCCTCGGACTGTTGGCGTCGCGCAGCATAGCACTTTCATTAACCGTTCATTCCATTCATCTGCCTGGCTGGCGTGTACTCTTCCTCATTACAGTGTATCAATGCTATAATCGTGTTGTCTGAGCTTATTGACCGATGTTCGATTCCTCAGGTTATCCGCGTTTCCCCGCAGCTCGCAGCGTTACCGTGACCCTTGGCTGGGCACGTGACCGACATTCGTCACGCGTCTCGTTAGCGGGTGTCCTGCAGGTCTCTCCTCTTCTTATATCCCCAGTTGCCCTTGGACCTCCCTCTGTTGGGTGATTTGCGATGCGGGATAATACTGTTCTCCAGCGACGACTTTCTAGGAAAAAATCCGAACGCGGACGCAGCGACAACGACCTGAAGAAGGAAGCCGTGAGTGTGCTGCCGAGTTACTTCCTAACGAATAACATAGGGTCTTTGTGTGTCGCATAAAGGGACGGATTCGACACACTTCCGTCTTTCCTGCAGAAATCCTGGACCACATAATTACACTCGCCCTTTCCGAAGGCCCCGCCCGCCACTTCTCAACGATCGCCGCATTTTCCCTAGCGAGCCATCAGTTCAGGCAGATCACCCTCCGGCGGTACTTTTTAGTCCTCAACGTCTCTACTCCGGCAAGCTTGGCTGGTATTTGTCAGATTGACGGCATGCCCTCGTGGGTCCGGTATGTCTCCGCCCGCCTGCGCGTCGGGTAAACTTCATTATATGCGCATATATCGACCCCAAAGGCAATTGGTATGCACATCATCAACGCTCCTCCCGAACTCCCACAGCATTTCCGGTCTTCGCGCCCTCGACTCCGTCACGATCTCCTGCGCACTGCTGACCCTCGGAAAACAATCACGACCTCTAAAGCTCATCCTCGCCCATTTACCGGCTCGTATAACATCGCTTACCCTGACAGCCCTCGCCCGCATCGACGCCGCCCTCCTCCGTCTAATCGCCGGCGTGTTCCCGGCGCTGACGACCCTCGAGCTGAGCGTCGCGGAAAGGCTGGACTACGAGTGCTGCGCCAACTGCTTCGCGGAGAGCGCGAGCTGCGTCGTGTATGCGCCTATCCCGCACCATCACCGGTCGGCGGAGGCGCTGGGGGTGAGGCGTTCGCGTGTCGTCTGCTGGTGTCTAACTCTTTGAATTCTTCTAACGCTTTTGCGCTGTGGCAACTAGGAAGCGCTTGGGTCGGCCTTGCAACCGCTGAAGGCACTTCGACGTCTGTTCCTCGGCCTCCTTCTCTGCCACGCAGACACCCTAACGTGCTTCGACTTCAACTGCCCGGAAGCGTTTAATGCGGGGAGGCAATCACCAGAGGCTGTCCGCACGAATGAGGGGCTCGCTGCGGCCGCGATTGTTCCGAGCGTTCCTTCGCTGGAGACTATTACCTGGGGGTTGCCTCCTCACCAACGGCTGCACGGGACGGACCACAGAGCAGAGCCGACTTCCGTTGGATGATGCTTCTCGTTCTGGCTCTCGCCGACTTTATACTGGGTTGTCATGTAGGAATTGGACCGATGCTGCTGACTTGGGGCTCTCTTCTACGCACACTGAACGGTCGACCCGGCACCTGATCGATTCAGGCTTGCGGAAGTTGATGACTATTTGTGACGCACCTGCATGACGCAGTTCGTACCGTGTTCAGCCGTGAATACGGCAGCGTGAAAACCGCCTGAAGGTGATCGACAGCAATTCAGTACCTATGCTGGTGCTCTCCCCAGCGACACCCAGCCTGGTAAGCCATGAAAGAAAGCAGAGGCCCAACTCTTCGATCAGCATTGTGAGGGAGGAAGAGGTTAGAAGAGAGATGGCCCGTCTGACGATGGAAGCAGGAGAGAGCTCGATGTCCCACCATCTTGATTTTACGCCCTGTCACTGCGAGAAAGGCTCGCATTAATTGCAAAGGCTTGCATAGCAGCACCAGGAGATCGCATAGTCCAGAAACGACGCAGCACTAGACGGGCACGAGTGAAGCCGTACGCGGGGCCTTGGCACATTCAACAGCCGGCGAGAACTGCTGCAGAAAAAAATCGAAATATATGACAAGGTGGCAGTGCGGACGCGGCCCTGCTGCTCACTGTGAAGACTGTTGATCGAGCCATTTCAAACAGGGCAAAACGAGCGTTGGATGTCGAACGTCGGAGCTCACCCGCCGCGACGGCCCCTCTACGCAAGAACGAGAACGAAAAGAAAGAGGGGGCGGCTCGGCGCTCACGAAGTCGCTGGGAGCATCTAAGTCGAGGGCAGCATCTGTGATGCGGGAGTAAGAGACGCGTGCCTCGCGATCGCGTATGCACGCCTCCGCACCGTATACGAGTGCCACCGAGGCTCGAACAGTATGGCCAGTGCGGGCGGTCAACCCTCCGGCTTGACCCTGGATGCGGCTCGGGCACGGGGAGCGATGCGCTACGCCGCTCCGGTTGTGGCACTAGGAGATACAAGTAAGCGCGAAAGGGTAGCTGTACCACACGACACACTGCACATCGCGCGCAAGCATTAGCATTAGAACCGGTCTCCAGCCCAGCAAAGCCGCGTCCGTGCCCTGCTTGACGAAGGCCGACGCCGTGTAGGGTTTGGGCTCGGTGACAATGCACGCGCACCTGGCTGGCATGGACTCAGTTCCACGTCTCACAGCTCGAAAAAGGAAGAAGGATGAATCGCGCATACCTCGGCGGCAACGCAAGCCGCACCCCGTATTCCCGGCAGTACAGTCGAATGCGCAAAGACAACGGCGCGGGCATGTCTCGCCCCCACAGGCACGGACAGTCCGGGCGGGACGGACGGGGCGCGCTGGACTCGCACAAAGGTGGTGAGCTAGTGCTGAGATGTGTGAGCGGCTAGACAGTCGCGGTGCTGTGATGCAGGAATAAGCTATGAGTACCTCGCGTATCCACAACTGCCGGCACAGTATTCCAAGTGCCACCAACCCCCGATCCCAATCCCAATCCCTATGAGGCGAGCAGTGAGAAGCAAGCCCCAACGAGCCAGCCACACTCTGTACCCTCCAGCCAAAAGCACCACGCCACTCACCCTTTGCTTATCCTTTGTCCTGTGGCACAGCGCGGTCACGACCCCAACGCGTGCACGTGTGGCTGACCTCTGTTCGCGTCCTGCTCGGCTTCGCGTCAGCCACCTTCTCTTCCCTCCCCACAGCCATTACACCTCACTACCACTCGACGTGATACCTATAGCAAAACCATGGCCGACACGAACCGCGCGGACCTGGCAAACCTCTTTGCCTACCTCGCGATGGGCCCGACGAGGGGACGGGCCACACCGCCCCCGCCCCATACCACGCAACGGAAACCCAAACCGGCGCCCGCGCCGCACCGCGACTCGGGGTTCTTCGAGGACGCGTCCGCCTCTTCACTGTGCGTCCAGGAGAAGATACAAGCAGGAACACATCCCGAGGAACACACCCGCACGAACACCGAGGAGGAAGGGCAGGGGGAGAGGGTCGTTGAAGGGGAGAGGGATAGCGAGCTCCCGCACCCGCGCGCCGTCGTCGGGCAAGCCGCCGCGTTCCCCTTCACCTTCGCGACCCCGCCGCGGCGCGCGGAGCTGCGCGCGTGGACGCGCGGCGTGCAGGCCGTGCTCGAGGACAGCCGCGCGCGCTTCCGCCCGCTGCCGGAGGAGACGCGCCCGCGCAAGTGGCTGATGCAGTCTGCGCGGAAGCGGCGGCTCGCGGCGGGGGACGTGGGTAGGGAGAAAGGGGGGGAAGAGGGAGGGGGGGAGGAGGGGGGAGACGTGGTGGAGGGGACGGGGTGCGCGGTGGTGGGGTATGTGGGGGTAAGGAAGCGGCGGTGTGTGGTGCCGAGGGCGAGGCGGAGCGTGCTGGATGTGCGCGCGGTCACACATACGCCCCCACCCGCGCCTGAAGCGAAAGATGAGAAGCGCGGGGAGGAGGAGGGCTTCGCGCGTGAGATGGAGAGCGACGACGGCGCGGACACGGGGGAGGGCGACGGGCTGCGGACGGGGGACTCGGAGCGCAGCTTTGACGAGAGCTTCCTGGAGTATCTGGAGGGCGCGCCGGGCGTGTGGTGTGCGTAGCACCCGGAGTACGTGTGTGGAGACTGAACAGGGGGACTCCAAGTCATCGATGGTTTCAACTTGCAAGCACGGTCAGTCGATCTAGTCAGGGAATAGCGATGCGAGGAGGCGTGCTTACCGCGGTCCTGGCAGTCCGCCGAACACAGACCGGCCACTCCCCTTCATCCGCTATTTATCGTCCTTCACGCCCGTCTCCCGATGGAATGAACCATACCGTCATGCGAGAGCCCCCTCGTCCTTCCAGTTGATTGAGCGTTCTGGATTTGATGTATATTGCGTACGACCACCACCAGTATCACTTTCCTTGCTTGCCTTTCAATCACGTTATGTTCCTGCATGTTATGTTCCTGTAAAACACTTGTCTTGTTGAATCATGAAGCATCTGAATGAAGCCTGAGCATCGTCGTCACAACAAGCGTCTTGGCAAAAGTGCCACGAACGGCGCAGGGCCTTTAATACGAGTGACCGCATTGCGACAGCAGCAGCAGCATCAAGAGGGGTTTGATATGCAGGCCCAGCCTCCAGGCCGTCTCAGCCAAGACCAGGCAGTCGAGAGATGGGCCGACGTCCACTGGGCGCGCAACTTTGTCATAACCAAGCCATCTCATCATCCTACCATCCTCTCAACAACCCACTCACTCACTCATCTAAAGGCGTTTCAACCCCGATCCACATTACATTCACAATAAATAACAAACAAAGAATACAAATAATCGTAACAATACAATCCCCTCAACCTGTGCGAGCTGGTCAACTGAGAACTACGACCGCTCCCCGCGCAACCGCCGCGCGAGCGCGAGGTCCTTCGGCTGGATCGTCACGCGCTTCGCGTGGATCGCCGCGAGGTTTGTGTCCTCGAAGAGCGAGACGAGGTACGCCTCCGCCGCTTCCTGCAGGGCCATCACCGCCGAGGACTGGAAGCGCAGGTCCGTCTGGAGGGGGTCGAGGGATGGAGGTGAGCATGGTACAGTGCAGGGGAGAGAGGGAAGGAGGGAGAGAAAGAAAGGCACCTTGAAATCCTGCGCGATCTCGCGCACGAGCCGCTGGAAGGGCAGCTTGCGGATGAGCAGCTCCGTCGATTTTTGGTAGCGCCGGATCTCGCGGAGCGCGACGGTCCCCGGGCGGAAGCGGTGCGGCTTCTTCACACCACCAGTCGCGGCCTATGCAAGTCAAGGTGAGGAAAGAGAAGGGGGAGGGGAAGGGAAGGGAGGAAACGCACGGTGGCGGTCTTGCGCGCGGACTTGGCCGCGAGCTGCTTGCGCGGGGCCTTCCCGCCCGTTGACTTGCGCGCTGTCTGCTTGGTGCGAGCCATTGCTAGTCTTGTAGTAGTGGTAGTGGTGGTAGTGGCGGTGGTAGGTGATAAGAATTAGGCTCAAAGTCGACTTGGACTTGGGGCGGGAGGGCGGGTGGTGGTGGGCAGCCGGCGCAGACGCGCGAGGTTATATACCCGCGCGACGCGTCGCGCACGTGACTCTAAACGCGGTGCACCAACGAAACCTTATTCTGTTTATCGGCACAGCCACGCAGGTGCGTATATAACCGCTCGCGCCGCTTTCATGCTCGCCACTCGCCCTCGTGCTCCTCCGCCTCCACGCAAACTCACTCAACCTTCGAACTTCACCTCGTAAATCATGTCTGGCCGCGGAAAGGGAGGCAAGGTGCGGGTTGCATTTTGTCTCATAGACAGGGCGAAAGGCTGACTTTATGATTCTCCCAAAGGGTCTCGGAAAGGGCGGTGCGAAGCGCCACCGCAAGATTCTTCGTGACAACATCCAAGGTGGGTGATAATGCACCATGTCCAGCGTTGGGTGATTGCTCATTACGCTCCAGGTATCACGAAGCCCGCCATACGCCGCCTCGCGCGCCGCGGTGGTGTCAAGCGTATCTCGGGTCTCATCTACGAGGAGACGCGCGGCGTGCTCAAGATCTTCCTCGAAAACGTGCGTTCCCCTGCCCCTCCCTTTCCTTTCCCTTCATGACGGTAGCTGATGGCGTGCTGTTATGTATGCGCAGGTCATCCGCGACTCGGTAACATACACCGAGCACGCGAAGCGCAAGACCGTTACCGCGCTCGACGTCGTGTACGCGCTCAAGCGCTCGGGGCGCACGCTCTACGGGTTCGGCGCATAGTCTCTGGCTCGTTGTGGGACTCGGACTGTATTTTGGTTGTATCGCTACTGTACTTTTATTTATTCGTTTCTCTTTGTCTCGCACTGGCAATACACTACACTACACCATAGTAGGTGGAAATTAGGACCTGGTGTGATTTCGAGTGTCGGTGTGAGGGAAAAGGTTGTTGCGGAGGGATCTGCGAGGGCGTCTTGTGCAGTCGACGCTGTCCTCCTGCCCGATGTTCTCGCTCCTGCGATGCTCGCGCACGGCCCTGCCATAACTAGCCCCGACTATCCGCCTATCCTCCATCGCATCATGGGACACGCAGACTCCGCCGAGCAGCACCGTCGCAGTCGGCTTACGCAGCAACGTGCCAGTGGACATGCCGCGTCGTCGTCCGTCGGCGGGATCAAATTGCGACAGCGTACGCACGGACGAGTTTGGATTCCTTCAGCAGCCATCGATACGTACGCCTTCTTCAGCTTGCGGCCAGCTCGAGTTTAAATCTCGGACCTGCTGTCGGACTGCGAACCGCTATTTCTCCGTCGGGCACCGATAGTCGGGCGGCGCGCTGGCATAAGAAGACTCGCTCTCTCTCCCTCGCTCGCGGGCACCGCACAAAGCGCACAGCAAACGATGGAGACGCAGGTACGCACCCCTCCCAAGCGCGGCCCGACATTATTCACCGACGCCCGCCAGCCGTGGCGCGCCTCGCTCCCGAACGAGACCTGGCACGCCATCTTCGCCCTCCTCCCGCCGCCCGCGCTCCTCGCCGCCGCCCTCGTCTCGCACCAATGGCACGCCCTCGCCGCGCGCACGCTCTACGCCGCCATCGCCATCGCCGACTCCCCCCTGCTCCCCGCGCCGCACAAGGCCGCGCGCCTCGCCGCCGCCCTCGCCGCGCGCCCGCACCTCGCCGCCTACCCGCGCCGCCTCTCCTTCCGCACGCACGCGCACGGCGCCGCCGACGCCCTCGCCGCGATCCTCCCCCTCCTGCGCGACCTCGACGCGCTCGAGCTCTCCACCGCCCCCGGGCGCCTCGACCCCGCCCTCCTCGCGGGGTGCCTCTTCCCCGCGCTCACCGCGCTCACGCTCGCCGGCCTCGCCCCCGCGCCCTCCCCCGCGCTCCCCGCCTTCCTCGCCGCGCACCCCTCCCTCACGCACCTCCACCTCCCCG